TCCTGTGCTGACTGTGCTTGTTTTATGAATTCGAAGAAGAATCCGGGATAGGACACATACTGTTTATCTGTTGCATTGTGCATATTCTGCTTGCTTGGAAAAAATTGCTCACGTGCGACAAGCCAGACCTATGGCAATTGTCACCTACGCAGAAGGTTGACACGTTGACCGACTGGGAAGACTACCTAGATCGGTGGGCGTGTAGTCTAGGGATGAGGAGTGATAGTTGGGAGAGGATATAGTGGGGAGAAGCTAGTTGGGAAAGGAGATAGTACACTGGAAGGAACCGCCCTAGGATGGCATGCTTCATCTGTGGCCAGGAGGGGCACTTCGCTAGAGACTGCCCTAATAGACCGAATGTACCAAATAATAGTAGTAATAACAATAATAGTAACTATAGGCCGTATGCTGGGCTGAACTACCAGCAAAAGCAGGACGTCGCAGATATCGGTTGGATTCGGGATTTCTGTTCTTCACTGGCGAAAGAGAGGAAGGACAGGGAGAATCGAGAACTAGCGAAGGAAGCGAGGAGAATCGATGCGGAACGCAAAAAACAAGAGGAGGAAGCACACCAGCTGAGGAAAGCCGAGATGGAGAGGCAAGCGGGAATTAGAGATGCTAGGCTGATGAGCGCGATGACCTCGCAGCTCAAGACCATGCACGACAAACTAGCTGGCCAAATGGAGGCATTACAAGGACGAATGAAGGCACGTGACGATCACCGGAACGAAGCAGATAAGACGAGAGCTGCGATCATCGATCTAGAGAAGGAACTGGCCATGGACAGCCCGGAGCGAGAAACGGCGGAACTGAAAAATAAAATTGCGCAGTTGAGGAAACTGAAGGAAGAGAAGGAGAGAGAACGAGCGAGGAAGAGAGTGAGAGAGCAAGAGGAGGAATGGGAGAGACAACAACGAGGGAGAGAAGAAGATCTGAGAAGATCGAGAGGAAAGACGATGGCGGGGGGCAATGAGCGATGGGAGGATCCTGACTGGAAAGATGGAAACTACATACCTGAAGAGGATGGTGAGGAGCAAGAAATGCGCCGGAACTTCGAGAAGCTACACCAACAACGGACCAGTAAGGGGAGCACCTCACAAGAGACTCTTCACTTTCAACAGCCATCGTTCGGAATACGGATCGGGGAACCTGCCACACCTCGGAAGGTGCCGAGCTTACCACCGAAGACCCCAAGGATGACAACAAGATCTCAGACCAAAAGACGGCCGCATTCGACGCTGAGGACCTGATCGCCTGCTGGAAACGTCTCACTACGAACGGGGCGTTGAGCGACATCTTTGATTACGGCACGAGGCTTCGTAGCTTTCTGCGTACGAAGTCTATGTCGCAACTCCAATGCCTGTGCGGCTGCGAGAATATTGAGTACCACACTAGAGAGCGCGCAGTTAAGGAACTCATCGCTATCCGTATGTACGCTAACTGTGATACTACGAGAGGGAAGGACCCGAGTGAAGAACCAAGGAGCCCGGACCCTGCTCCAGGCTCCGACTGATGCCCTTCCCTCGACCAGGCCTGGGAGATGTGGCACGCGACAGTTGCATACCGAATGATGTGCTCTCACAACATTGAGAGGAAGCGTCTAGTAGAAGGTGTGCTAAGGAGCCTGTTTGTGATCCTGATGATCAAGGGGGTTGTACCATGGGCTAGGAAATTCCGGAATCTATGGAAAGAGACGGACATAGATTGGAATGAACCACGCAAATGCGTCTATGCACTTATCTCACCTAGATCTAGGAAGCTATACATTGGACGGACGAGTAGGCACCTACACGATCGATGGAGGGAACACAGAACACTCTGCAAATCTGACAGCAACTGCCAAAGACCACTCTACGACTCGATCAGAAAAAACGGATGGGAAGAGTACATCGCTATCCCGCTCACTGCACCATCATCAGATACGGACTTGGATATCATCGAGAAGCGCCTCATTAAGAGATGGTCCCCGACACTGAATGAGAAGAGGAAGAAAACAGGTTCAAGCAGAAGGAAGAAAGCTAGGAAAGGAAGGAGAGGGAGGAAGGGAAGAAGCACCGGGTGCGAACAGGGGGGGAGAATCCTGAGATTCAGTGATGGAGAGCAATGGTCGACTAAGCTATCCGTTCTGCTGGCATGGGGGCTGGAGGAGGGAAGGACTATGCTCACGATCCAGTGCAGCGCCGGCAGCACCTGGTGTGAAGACTGGAAAGTGATAAAGAGGAAGTATGGCCTGTCAGAGTTGAGGGTTAATGACCGGACAACGACGCTCAAGGAAAGCAGAGCATCGATCAAGAAAGGAGACACACTACATGTAACTAATCTGAAGGAGACCATCACGTACTCTGTGCGCATGAAGAGCGAGCTTCGTCTGCTGTTGTCGCAACCATGGAGGAGGAAATTGTTGGGACGACTGGACTACCAGGAACTCACCCTCCGATACCAGGCTACCAGAGGATTCGATAACAGGATGAGACAAAGATTGAAGACGATCCTGTCGAAAATGATTAATGATAAATTAGGAATGAATACTAGGAAGAGACAGATAATCCGACTTCCATTTGATGATAGGATTATCAAAAGGGAGGTAGATGCGGTGTGTCGGCTAAAGGTAGGCGAACTGGAGCTGAAGCCTGACGTTGCTGATATTGTACGGAGGAAGTAACGAGTCGTTTGGACCAAACGCCAGATGGTTGGGGACATCCTCCATAACCATCGAGCGTATGTTCGCTCGAATGGATGCATCTGCCCCTGTGCAGATAGTGCCCTCCCCAAGAAGGACGGACATGTGCAATGTCGCCTCTCAAACTTGGACGTTCCATCATTTTTGCAGAACACGAAGAACATCCCAGCGCAGGACACGAGATCAATGCTGGGAGGGATTGCAATTGCAATCACTGAAGGACTGGGGTACCTATATAGTAAGAGAATGAAAGCGCTCACGGTAGATATTGCGGAGCTGCGAAGATGTATCAGACCAAGTGATGGCGCAAATGATTGGTACCGGGAAACAATCGAATGGACGGCCAAATTGGCCGGCTTCGTGAGGATGCCGATGGATAGTAATCCTGGCGCCACCTACGTGGTCTGTCCGTATATCTACGCAAGGGCATTGCGTGACCTCTTCTGGCACAGGGGGAACTTCACGATTTGTAGGGAATCCGAGGGAGAGATCCTAGAAGAATGCAGGGCCGCATACACGGAGAAGACACTGCACTGCATCTGATCGTGGAGGAAGAAAGGAAGGTTGGGAGACTCCTACGTACAACCAAAACACAAAGATTTGGCAAGGTGGCGACCTATAACACCTGCCTAGAACTCTCCAGTGAAAGAAGCGGCAAGGAGGACTGCGAAGGCGCTTCAATGCATCCTCGACTCGCTTGCAAAGGGGTTGCACTTCAATGTCAAATCGACCAAAGATGCGATGCTCAGAATCAAAAAGTGGGGTGATGAGACGAACGATGACTCTGGCATTATCGCAGCGACTTTCGACATCAAAAATATGTTTGTGGAGCTGCCGCACGAAGCTGTGACTTACGCGGTAGAATGGATCGTGGAAATCGTGCGATCCAAAGGCTTTGACAAAGTGAACGTCAGTTGTCGAGGGAAGCAACCATCGATGGGAAGAAGATCCCGTGAAGGCTACTTTGCGGTGAAATTTGACACCATTCGCCAATGGGTGGCCTACGAACTGCAACACTCCTACAGTAAGGCTAAGGGCGAGGTGATCAAACAGCAGCAAGGGATTCCGATGGGCGGGAGCACGAGCCCGACACTCGCTTGTATTCTATGTGCAAGAAGTGAGGCCCTGTTCAATCACGACCTTCGTTAAGAGGGATCAAGCATCTTCACGATGCTCGACCCCAAGAACCATGGAAGGATCGCCAAAGGGGAGAGTCTGGAGTATCACACAATCCAGGACTTTCGATCCTACAACGACAAACAGGTAAAGATGTCTGCAATCGTCAGCCAGCTCCATCGCATCAGACGCTTCACGACCGACCACCCTTGCTCGGCGCTGCCAGTCCTGAGTCTGAAGAAGGAATGGACACTCAGAGGACACCCTGGATGGATCCTCAAGAAAGCAGCTTGTAATTTCCACGCTCGGGTCAAGAACCCGCCATCTTGGCTCAGACTACTAACATCGAATGATTGACCTCCATCCTAACAAGGATGGAGGTGAGAGAGAGAGGGAAAGAGAGAGAGAGAGAGAGAGAGAGAGAGAGAGAGAGAGAGAGAGAGAGAGAGTGGAGAGGTAGAGTGGGAGAAAGAGAGAGAGGGAGAGAGGGAGAAAGTAAAAAGAAGGGCGTGAGTGAGAATATAGGCGGGAAATCCAACCGCAGACTAGCTAGCAATATTTGCCTTACAGGCAGGGCAGGTGGTAAGTGTCAGTAATGCCCGTGGCCAGCTGTTCGGCAGATCCGACCGTTCTGCACCTCCAACAGGCCTCGCCCTTTCCCTCTTCCCTTTTTATTAATTTTCTCATTTTCCTTTCCTTTCTTTTCTCTTTTTCCCTTTTTTCTTTTTTAGTTAGAAGTGGGTTTTTGTCGCGTCCGTGTGGACAGATAAAAGTATCCAGTTCGCTACTCTCGGCCTTTTTGGGTTCGGTGGATTTGGGTTGGCGGAGTGAGCCCCCCTGAGGATGGACGGTTGGCTACCGTTCGAAACGCGGCGTCGGGGAGAGTCGTGGAAGAGTAAGGATATGGCCGACACTTATGATTTCGCGTGTCGTTTTCTGATAAATCGGACTTTGCATGATGAATCATGGTGATGTCTTCGAGCTCTTGTGCTGACTGTGCTTGTTTTATGAATTCGAAGAAGAATCCGGGATAGGACACATACTGTTTATCTGTTGCATTGTGCATATTCTGCTTGCTCGGAAAAAATTGCTCACGTGCGACAAGCCAGACCTATGGCAACTGTCACCTACGCACAGAGAGAGCGAGAGAGAGAGAGACAGAGAGAGACAGAGACAGAGAGACAAAGAGAGAGAAAGAGAGACAGAGAGACACAGAGAGACACAGAGACCGAGAGACACACACACACACACACACACACACACACACACACACACACACACACACACACAGAGAAAGAGAAACAGAGAGAGAGAGAGAGAGAGAGAGAGAGAGAGAGAGAGATATCAGGTTGTATTTTGGAATTTTCGGAGTCTTAATTGCTTGTGTTCTCCGGGTTGTTGCCTCTCTTCTCGTCCTCTTCGTCTATGTTTCTCACCCTTTTTTCTTTCTTCTCTACTGCACATTTTCTTTGTGTGGTATAAGAGGATGCATGGATTTGTGCGATTGAGTGTATGCTCTTCTCTTGCATGTCTGGTATGCTCGGGACATCTTGACACTAATTAAATTAGGATGTTGACAGTAATTAAATTAGGATGTTTGTCTCGCGTGCATGAATGCATGTCCTCATTTGTCTCTTGATGAGCAGTTAGGACTTTTAATGAACTGCTCTCTGTACACGGGAAATTATTGGGGATGAATGTGGGATATTAAGACAATCACTACGTATTGGCAATGGATGGCCATTGGCCGCTTCGTGCCCCCTAATATATTGACTTGACCCCTTTCCCCCACTAAGACAAGTTACAAATTTGTGAATGGGATGTCGGTAATGTGATTGCTCACATAAGCAGCCCTTCCTGAGTTGTGCCGCATGCGTGGATTCTCGATTTGTCATTGTCGTAATTTGTTGAAACTTAATTTCCCCAGCACTCCCTTCTCCTCCCCTATCACGAGCTCATACTCGCACCCTGGTCCACCATGTCTCCCAGATGGCCCCACGTCTGTAAGGGTATGTTATAGTAGGCATCATGATGGTGTTTTGAGTGTCTGGAAAGGTATGTTATAGTAGGCAGTGTGGGTTTCCCTACAGGCTCCGCAGCGAAAAGACATATAAGGCAAGGGGCAATAGACTGAGAGGACTCTGGACTTGGTGAGCAACGGAGGCGACAAGTGAAAACTCTATGCAACCCACCATATACCATGCAACCCACCATATAGCACATAACCATTTAGGTGGGGGAATGCAGGTGCAGGTGAGCTCGGAATGATCTCATTTGGGGCTAATTCTACAAGAGTGCAACTGTTCCGTCCTTAACACAAAATTGCACACATACGCATCTATCTGAGTTTTGATTGATTCGTGAAGCTGTTCTCGGCAGTCCTGTCCGCAAAACTTTGGCACTGGAGATCTCAGTTCCGATCTGGGACTCCAACCCCCGTGTCCTAAAATTCTTGGCACACCCCCTACTTCGCACCTCCAGGCCAACTTCCACTCTGATCAGAAAGTCC